ATGATAATGGTGGTTGTTAATGTTCCAGTATTTGTGAGGTTGAAAAAAAATTGTAACGCCACGATGATTTATCAGAGGTACCGAATTTGCTGAACATCTTCTTGGAAATTTCAGAAGTTGTTACCAAGTCGGAAGGAGGATATAGTACTGGTTTAGGTACTTATTATAATAACGGCAAGTAAGGAAAGTAAACTGAATAAATCTTCCTCAGTCTATTTTTAATCAGGAATTTATTCACGAGGACGTGTCATTAGGAGGAGTTATCAGTGTTGCACATGGAGGAGGAAACTAAGTCTTATTCACTTGCATAAATAATATGAATTTTTTTTTTTTTTTTTTTTTTTTTTTTTTTTTTTTTTTTTAAAGTCATAATTCGCAACAATTAGTTGTTGCTAAGAAATTGATGACTTATTTGGAGGATGGAAATGTTTCATATTCATTTGATGTTAAATAAGAAGGCTGATTGACACTTACTTTTCATTAAAGAAACAGGGTGTGTCAAAGACACGAGGATGAGATTGGTCGCCTATATATAAAGAAGAGGTGCACGGTGTGTATGGAAAGGTCGTAATTTGTTGACTTTTGTTGAGTTAAAATGATATTTGATTTTTTGATGAATGGAATTACTTGTTGACTTTCAATATCGGTAAGTTTATCACAGATTCGTGGTGCATGGATTCAGTTGCAAAGTTAGCTTTTGAAGATGTTCCAATTTAAACACTGGGTGTAGACGAAAGCTAGTGGTACTAGACTAACGGTACTTTCTGTAGACAAATTAGAAGGAGGATACAAGGACTAAGATTCACAACTCTTCGTTCTCTATTTATCCAGGTGGAAATACAATGCATCACGCTATGAAACAGATGTTTGGAGAACAGGCAGAAGGAAGGACATATATATTTTGTCTCTAAGTCTAATATTTATTAGATAGTCAGGATTGACCATCAGAGATCACTAGATCCTTATAGCCATATCCTATATTAAAGTGGAAATGAGAGAGTATTTTCTGCAGATTTAGTTGAGGGATTGCTGATTTTACATAAGGGTCAGGATTCAGGTTGGGATATTGGTTAACTGATAAATTAGATTAACCAAATTCTTGTCTATATTGAACTGGTATGCCATCAGTTCCTACGAACATAATGGATCACAAGACGGTTTTAATGGATAGAAGTGGTGATTCACACTTTGTATCAATTTCTGTCTGGTGTAAGCAAATATGGAAGTGGATGCTCTTAACAACCGATGAAATATTTAAAATCTTTTGGCTAGTTGTTGAGTTATCAGTTGAATTTATAGCATGTGTAATAATAACACTTGCTATTACCAAGGTAATTAAGGAGGTCAATTTTGAATATCGGAGTTGACCCTAGAGGAGGTGTTACTTACTCAGATAGAGATTAAAGTACTGGAGGAGGATTAGTAGGTTCTGTAAATGAGGTCGAAGTGACTGAGATGTAAAATTCATATTTTATGGTGCACTAAGATGGTTATAAGATACATCAAGACATTAAATGTCAGTATTGGTGAACAGGAATGGGTAGGGACATGTACAAAATTGTCTTTAAGAGAAACACCTGTTAGAAAGGTGGAGAATTGCTAATTGGATATCATTGGAGATTTTTGCCACTTCCTATGTCAAAATGGGAGTAGGACTAATCAGGAATGGATGGTTTGTAGAAATTATCGACATTGATTGAAATATGGTGTTATAGCATTGGGATGTCCATTATAGTAGATGAAAAGTGCTATTATTTTGGAGCAGCAGCTTTGCTACATATCTCTAAACGGAGGAATTGATCGAGAAATTTAATTAAATCATGGAGTTTATGATTGAGGCATATATCCTAGGTTTTCATGGACAATTAATGGAAGCGTTTATATCACTTTTCAGAATTTTGTTTATGATATGGTCAGCACAAGGAGGTTGATATGACAACGTTCGAGGTTTTGTATATTACATAGTGCAGACCTCTCATTTGTTGGTTTAAAATGAAAGTAAGGGTTATACAATCAGACCTTGACTTCATTTAAAGATATGTCGGAGAGACATACTCTCCTTTGTAATGGTTTTTTGCGCGGTTTAAAGGCGGCAATATATTTTTCATTAATAGTCAAACTCGTATACTAGGGTTTTCTATCAGGAAGTAGTTTGCTCGTGATGTCTTCCATATAGGAAGCAAGACAATTTTTAGAGGAAGGTCAGTTTTACTTATTAAATTGACTTTTAGAGGATTTTGTTTATTAATGAGGCAGTAGCCTATAGATTTGCATTACTAAATAGTTAGCGCTGGGTGCATAGGAGTTTTGTGCATATATGCTATGAAACTTGGAGGATTATGTATCGTTACCCTTGACTAAATATTGGGTAAGATTGAGTTGTTGTTAGGTACAATTTATATGTGGTAAGGTTTTTGGGTTTCTTAAAAATAGGAACTATAAATTTTTATTGGATGCTTTGGAATTCAGTAGAGCCTATACACAGAGGCAGAGTCCATATGAAATGGACATAAATTACAGAAACATAATTCAGAGTTCTGTGAATTCCGATGATGGAATTTCTTTTGTTAGGGGAGAAGAATGTAATACCCCTAGTTTTCAAGAGGATATAAAGGGAATTTAATTGTTTATTTTATTATATTTTATTTAATTATGTGATTTTGTGCTTACGTGGCTATGTGTGTATGTGGCTATATGATTATATACTTATTTGTCTTAATTTCTTATGTGATTTATTTGAGTTAATTAGGTGTTTGTGTAGTTAATTGGGTGTTTTGCTTGCTTAATTGATGTGTGGTTTAATTGTAATTATTTGTTAGAATTAAATGATTTAAATTGTTGTGTGTTGTATTTTGTTTATTTTTATTTTAAATGATGGATTTGGATAGTAGTAATGGACCAACCTAATGGGTCACATGAACTAGTTGGATGGGAGTTGGATGGGTACGAATATTTACCCATGGATAGTTGTACATATATATATGGGTATATATGTATATATGATTTTTTTAATTATTAATTGTTATTAATAATTAATATTAATATAACTATACTCTGATATATATTATATTTATAACTTATATAGTTATAATGTTAATAATTATATATGTATGTACATAATCACGTTAGTTTTAGCAGACTTATATATATGTATATATTATTTATTTATTTTCTTGGTTATTGACGGAAGGAATTGGAGAGGGATTAGGAGTAGGTTAAATTATAAGTAGTATATATATATAAGTTTGTGTCTGCTAAGGGTTTTTACAAACCCATCACGTAGAATAGAGAGGGGCGAGAAACAGAAAGTTTGGCCAATGGGTTCAAGGCCAAACCCTAGGAGGAAGAAGAAGAGACTGTTCGTGGGGTTAGGACAGAGCAGCAGAAGGTTCGACGGCAACCATGGTCACCAGAACCAAAGGAAGAACACAGAGAAGGAGGTTTGGGATTTTTAACCCGAAATCGTAAGGCAAGTTCTTCTCTCACTCTCTACCTTTGATCTGTGTTTCTATACATGCCTAGGATATTCTAGGAGACTGAAACAATTAAACTAAATTATTATGCATACTTAATCGGACTAAAACAAGGATTGTATGTTTTTAGGTTCATGTTCTTAATTTCTTTATTCTTAGATTTTTTATTCATGAACTATTGTTTAAGTTATATCTTTGCATATTAAAACACTTAAAATAATTTAATATGGATGTATGTGACTTAGATTGGAGCTTAGGACTCTTAACTATGGAGTTTTAGGATTTACAGGGGCTGAAACGGTGAAGAAGACACTTTCAGCACCAACTGAACCAACTCAGTTAAAACCGAGCTGACTCGGTTGGCAACCGAGCCTGCTCAGTTGGACTGCGACCTGAATTTTTCGTTTTAATTGCCCAGAATTATTTTTAAACCTATTTCAATTAATCTAAATGGGTTAAATGGACTTTGTAAAGTTCTAGAATGCATAATATGCTTTATATGCTTAAAGAATTGGACAATACGGATTTATAAATAATTTTTATAAATTATTTAATGGATTGTTAGTTATTTAATTGTTTTAACAATTGAAATAAATGCTTATAAAGTTTCTAATCATAATTATGAACCTTTTTATAATTTATCTGAGATGTAGGTTAATTACTTGGAATATAAAGTTAACTACATGCTATTTAAATTGTTATATTTGCTTAAATACATGCAAATGAAGTTGTTAAATGGATGAATTGATTATTTTATTGTTTTAACAATTGAATTAAATGTTTAAATGATTTTATTCATGATTATGAGCTTATATCATTTATATGAGATGTAAGTTAATTACATGGAATGTAAGTTAACTACATGCTATTTAAATTGTTGTATTTGCTTAAATAAATGCAAATGGTTATTTGTATGATTTATATCATGCTATTTATGGATTAATTTATGTACTATTTTATTTGAGCATCATTTATTGTGGATTGTATGGTTTAATGCACCAGTATGGGACGGTGGCATTCTAGGGACGGATTAACAAAAGAAGTTAAGTCCTACCTATTTTTTTATAAGGGAATGGATTAACTAAAAATGTTAAGTCCTACTTATATTGAAGTCAGGTCAACTGAATAAGATGAAAAACTTATAGAGGATTACTTATACGGATCATATATATATGATTATGGTGCCATGATATGAGCTTGAGTCTCATGATCATGGTTAGGGTGTGTATATTGCCAAGGGATGTGTGTACCTAGATATAATGTAGTTGTTTCCCTGGTAGGTCTAGGTACTCATGCCCACTATATGTGCGTTTTGTATATTGCCTACTGTTCAGGTTGAAACAACCCTATAGTTTATTGAGGTTCCTCTAGTGTGTGTATATATATATATATATATATATATATATATATATATACGAACTACTAGTTATTGTTGGATTGATTAGAAAGTATATGTGTATCGGATCTCTGTTTAGACCGTAGTAGAGTAGAACTTATTTGTAGGCCTGACCCACCATTATTTTTCAGGTGTTCGTCAGGAGTAGAGGTTGTTCGTGCTGAGCAGGGATCAGTCTATTTCATTCTTCCGCTTCTTTTTGGGAGATTCGTTTATGATTCAATTTTCAAATGTAAACATTATTCAGTTTGGATTTTTTAGGGGTCCACATAGTATGGATTCCCGAGTTGTATTATTTTTGTGGTATTAATTGTATCAGAAGGATTTATTAATCAATGAAAATTTATTCTGAGGATTAATTATTTGATTATTATTTTAGTTTCTTTTCAGCAATATATTTATTCTTATTTATTCTTTTCTAGTTTGTGTTCGTTTATTACCAATTTATTTTTAATATCCTCGGGTATTCGGGCGTGGGCCTGGCTAATCCGCATTCGAAAATTTGGGGGTATCACAATTGAAGTCTCAACTAAATTTGAATGATGCTTTGTTAAGTGGTGGGGAGTTTATTCATTCGTTGTTCTGCACATGTCTTAAATTTGATAGTGCAGGAGGGTTTAAAAGAGGTTGATGAATCTATCATAAAGATTCATGAGAGTATTAAGTATGTCAAACGTTCTCAAATGAGGAAACAAAAATTCTTTAAATGTGTCTCTCATGTTTCCTTATAATGTAAAAGAGAGTTAAGGCAAGATGTTCTTACAAGATGGAATGCAACATATCGTATGCTTGAGTTTGCAATTTATTATCGTCGGGCTTTTTGTCATTTGCAGTTGAGTGATTCAAATTACAAGTTTGACTCGCAATAGTACGAATCTTTGTAAGATAGGACTATATAGAGGGTATCGATCCCACAGGGAGATGAGTGTTCTTTGTTTTGTTTCTAACTAATCTAATTCTTTTTGGTTTATAGGTAAATGATTAGATTTGATTGATTGGTTGTCATGAACATAAAGTACAATTAAACTGAAGTTAAATTAAAGAGATCAGAGGGAGAAGGTCTTAGGGCTTGACTTCACCACAAATCTTTGTTCTATGGTCAACTGTTCAACATTAGGATTTCAACAATTTATATATTCAAAGAATTAAATTTAATAACATTCGTTTAATTTGGTTTTAAAATAAAGATGTTTTATAAATTTCAATTAACTATAACCTATCTACAGTTAGCATAGATTATCCACCTACCTACTTCTAACTACTTTAACTAATTTTGTAGTATAGTCCATCTTTCCTAAGCATAAACTATGAAAACATTTATTTATAAAAAATATTAGAACACTATTGCATGATCTCCATTCTTATGTCTGAGAAGCTATTAGCCGCCAATCTTGTACACTAAGAATGGGTTAAGAATAATTAATGAATACCTAAATCTAAGACAAAGTATTAAATATTCAAAAACTATTTAAAACATTAAAATCCAATTGAGTTGACTCAATTGCTCAGAATCATGCAATCAAAATATATAATTCATTAAAATACCTAAAATTGAAACAATCAAACCATGGTACTTAGATCGGGTTACATTAGTGCCCTAAGAGAGGGATTAGTTACTTATGACGACATAGAATATCATTTGTGTTGTTGTGGTCTTCATCGTCACAGACGACACTTCTCTTCTTAGGATCTTCACCTTCTAAGGTTATAGAAACCCTAAAAGCCGCCACTACAATATGAGAACTCTGAAATAATACGAGAGAAAAAGACAATTCTTTTGTGGCCTTGTGCCTTCTTTTATAGAAGAATTAAGTTTCTGGCCAGCTTTTAGGTCTTCTGGCCCATCCTGGATGAAATAAGACTTAAAAGGGATAACTCCCACATCTATTAATTCCAATCTGTCATGGAGACTTCGAGCTTTAGAAGTAGAACTCGAACTATTTAGCACGGGCTCAAGCTTTGGATGCAAAGCTCGAGCTTTCTTGAACTTGGCTCAAGCTTCATAGAATGGTGCTCGATTTTCATTTTTGCACTTAGTCAGATTTCTTCAACTATTTTTTGAAGTGTCTTTTCCATCAACACTTAGAATATTTTTGGGTTTTCTTGCTTTTAACAGTGGTCGATCTTTTCTTTATGGTGCTCGAGCTTTAGGTGTAAAGCTCGAGCTTTTGGCTCAGGGCTCGAACTCTAAGTGATAGTGCTAGATCCCTTGAGGTCTGGCACGAGGCCCTAGGAGCTTGGCTTTCTCTAAAATCAACTTTTCAAATTCCGATGCCTTTGGCTCGAGCTTTTAGGCAAAGGCTCGAACACCCTAAGGTATGGCTCGAGCACCCTTATGTAAGGCTTGAGCTTTGGAGATCAAAGCTAGAGCTTTGATGCCTTAGTTAATTTTCTTGTTTTCTTGTGGAACTTAAGCCTTAGCACTTGAATTCCTTCAAACTTTACCATTTTGACTTTCGGCTTGCTTTGAATGACTAGCAACGACTTTGTAAGCTTCGATATCAGTCTTTTCATCATAAAGTCTCGGTTTTAACTATTTCTTTGGGAAAGTACTTGCAAACATGAAATAAACATAAATTAGTCTAACAATGGATAGAAGTATCACTTTAGGTCTTAACATATGTATATTTAGGGGCTCAAATATGTAATATCTAGCGCTCATCATACCCCCAAACTTACATATTGCTAGTCCGTTAGCAATACAAAACTAAAAAGCTGCTTTCGTGGGAATCATGGTTGCATTTGGCCTATGCAACAAGTCTTGAAACCACTACGTTATCCCTAGTGGACGAGTTATAGTCTTGTAAGGGTTTCCAGTGATGGTACCCACAAACATCTCAACTGTGCCTTAATTGCACAATAAGCTCATTCAAGTCTGTTTTCAAATCATAATATCCTAGTAGTTCATCAATCAATCAAATACAGCAAGTACAAGAAATTATATCAATCAGAAAAAATTTCAAACTTCCAATTTCAATTTAGTAAACATGGTCCCTACATGTCAGTTTAATCACTTATTTAATAACCTCAATCTCCAAAATCCTTTTTAGAAGTGAACTCACAGTTTCAAAACATGTGGCTTATTATCTATACTTGTATTTATTCCACGTAATCCCTCAATTCACAGGCAAACTTTTCAAATTCCAATTCCCAAGGTATTTTTCTTATTTTCTACAGGTATGCATTTTTTTAAAAAGGGTATTGTGCAATGTTCAGGTATGTTAAGCTTTCTAAATCACCCATATAATGAACTTTCGGCCAATGACTCCCAAACTAGATGGTTTTAGGGCATTAAGTGTTAAAGCACCCCTCCGGACCTAATTATTCAAGTAATCTAGGCAACCTAAACCCCTTATGTAACAAGCTTTTAGCCAATGACTCCCAAACCAGATGGTTTTTGGGTATTAGGTGTCAGAACACACCTCTAAGGACTTAATTGCCAAGCAATCTAGGTATAGACCTGAACTTGACCCTTTTCTTTTCGTTTCTTCACTTTTTTTTTTTTTTTTTCTTTCTTTCACATTGGTGAAGAATTTTTTTTCATTTATTACATACATACCAATTTTCTTTCTTTCCATTTTTCTCTTTTTTATTTTTTTTTTTATATTTTTATACCTTGGTTATCAAAATCATCAAATTCACCTACTCATCTTAGTTTAACACAAAACAAAACATGACTTCAAATTTATACCCAACAGAATTCATACAAGTGTGGATATGTGTAAAGTGAAGTATTTAAGAGATTAAAATCATCAAATAGTAATCATTCTGATAAAGTGGACCATAGGCTACCAACTGATTTTAAAAAATTTGAAAAATTCTTTTTCCACATAACTTTGGCATACAAGCCATCTCTACCCAACATCAGATTGTATAAAGACATCATAATAATCAACAAACTCAGAATCGTGCTTTCAATATCAAAATCCATGCCCTTGTGTTCAATATATTATCAACAAAAATTTGAAATATGTGTCCCTTACCCCCAAACTTAGTGTGCACATTGTCCTCAATGTGTGAAACAAAGTAGAGTTAGAAAGATATTACCATACTACACCAGACCAGCAAAGATATACCAATATGTAGCACAGAAGGGTAAAATAGAAAAATTACCCCCAAACTTAGTCCTTAGTACCTGGCAAAATCATAAAACTCCCACACACATCAGAGTATCAAGTATATGGAGTAAAAGCAGAGAAATATCATCATATATAACAGATATGACAAAAACACAAGGGTATAATAGGCAAAAAGCATGTATATATAGTCAAAATTAGTATAATTCTTTTAAAGAACAGACTTAGGGTAGAAATACAGCATATAGAATGAAATATATCAAAAATACTGCCCTAGTAACAAAAGTATGCCTATATATCAAAATAAAAATACAAACTAGCCTTAGATAGCTAATCTGCATGAGATAGCGGAATGCCGGTAGAAGTAGAACTGGCAGACGGAGTATGGTGTAACAACTCATCAAGAATGCTCCGCTGCTCAGTCAGCATCTCTCGTAGCAATGTCTGGCCAGCTTGTAGCTCTGCTACCCTGGCATGTAGCTCATGAATCTTAGTCTGAGAAGAACTTTCAGACTGTGCTGCTTGGGCCGGCTCTCTCCTCTGCCATGCCTGGCCATCAGAGGTATCCATCTCATCCTCTGTGGCATCCTCATCTTCATCCACTTTAACAGTAACAGCCACATAACAATTATCTCCAAACTCCACTGCATTACGGCGTTCTGCTAGCATATGAGCCCAAATCTTATTCCATTCTTTCATTCTGAATAAAGGAGACTCCTCACTCAACTCTTCATCACAAAACCCTGTAGCTCCAGTAGCCTGGAAATCATATATGGAAAAGGTAGCTTATGAGTTGGAAGTTATTAGTGCTGCCCAATCTCAGACCAAAACTAAAGTAACTGGCAGAATATTATCCGTGGAAATGAATACCAATGCTCAAACTGAATAGCATATAGTGCCTGAAGAAAATCAGTATTCCTAATGTTTTTATGTCCAAGCAAATGAACATTAGCAGAGAGAATAGAATCCATAATCCATAACCTCTTCAGAAGCTTAGCTTTGGTAGTACTACTGCGTTTCCTCTTGGCAAACCTACCATTACACAACTCCTAAATCAAATTCTCAGCAATTGGTACCCTAGGGAAAGGTTTATAATTGGGACAACTACGCCTCTCATCCACCATCTGTGGAAGCTTATGATAACACTCTAAAGCTGCAGCAATTGCACTAGGATTAATAATCAACTTATGCCCATCTACCACAGTTCTAAGTTCCCGAGGATGATTTTTACTATAAAAAAGGTTGGGATAAAATAACTGAACAAGACGAGGATAA